ATGCACATTTAAGGGAATAATCTCCTCACCTGAATAATTGCAGACAGCTGTTCTCAGTCACTGAACCTTGGTAGATGAATATTTTGAATATTTTTTTGTTGTCGTCATTATTTTTGTATATTCTGTACTCTGTGTTACGAGTTCCTACATTTTAAACCCTGATAGATTTTTAGCTACCTTGTTTTAATAAATAATGTATGGAAAGTTAAGGAGTTTTTCATGTTGAGGAATTATTAAATCCATTACAATTGAACATTACATTCTTGGTCAGTGATGATTTTTTTTTTTTTTTTCTCTTATGCCACACACTGTGGGTATAATAAGCTGAATGCTACTTTTGAGTTTATCCCTCCCCTCCCCACCCAGTCTAAATGAAAAACAATCTCTGAAATTTAAGAGAGTGTTTCCCAGCCTTTCTTCTGCACTTGAAAACAGTTTTGCTTGTTCATTCATATTGGTTACATTTGAATCTTATATATTGTGTACTTTTTATACTTCTCCCTTACCCTTTCTCAGGACCACTTCTCTTCATTGCAAGAAATGCTTCCAGTATCTATCCAAAGAGTGGCAGTATCACAATACCATTATTTTTATTAAATCAGTGTCACTAAAAATTGAGAAATCCCAAGAAAAAAATTGTGTGAAAACAGGTAAAAAATGTAATACTGATATATTGATGAAGGAAAAAAAAACAAACAAACCAGGAATTGAGTTCCTGTAGGTGTTAATTTAGTAAATTATCTTTGCTTTTTGTCTTTTTTACAATAAGTTGATGTTTCTTCTTTGACTTTTCAGGCACCGGTACTTTTGGGCGTGTTCATCTGGTGAAGGAAAAAATGGCCAAACGTTACTTTGCACTGAAAGTAATGAGCATTCCTGATGTCATTCGACTGAAGCAAGAGCAACATGTGCATAATGAGAAGTCAGTCTTGAAAGAGGTCAACCACCCATTTTTGATCAGATTGTAAGTTGTTGTATTTTTTAATTCATTTAACTCGTATATAAAGAGCAGTTAAAGTATTCTGGAGTCTCGTTGCAAGTTCTTATGTACTTAATCAACACCAAGCATTTAATTTCTATTATGTAATCTAGACTAAAATAGACTTCAGACTAAAATATTTATTATAGAAGAATCAAGAATTTAAAATCAAGAGGCATAATTTAAACATTTAAGCAATAATTTATTATAAGCTTTACTGTGTCTCTTATGCTGCAGAAGAGAAATTTTCTTAAGTGAGGGGAAAATACTAATGAAGAAATGTTAGGATTGGCTCATCAAAATGACTTCTAGAATGATTCTTGATGTTAGAATGGCGAGAAAAGAAGTATTTCTACATATATATTTCCTGTAGATATCTAGATAAAGATATAATTAGATTTAAGTGTCTGCTTTTTGAAAACTTTTGTGACCTTTACTTTTGCAAACTTTATTTTTAAAGAGTTTAAATGACTGCAGCACTTCTTGGGCTTTGTTATTCCCATATTTGAGGTTAAGTGATGGAACCTATTGAGAAATATGATTTAAACACAGTTCATGAAGAATACTCTTTTTAGTGGAATTGTGATGATTCTACTAATCCATTTATTGAGGAGAGAAGGTGTCACACTTTTCTGTTCACAGTACCACAGTGCTTTTTGTTTTTCTGAGTCCGTATTTATTAATGAGATAACTAAACCTCTGGGTAATTGCGTGGTTAATTTCCATTTATATTTTCTCATGCAATGGATACAGGGCGATTGACCAAGATTTGTTTTGCATTTACCTGCCTTAATCAGTTTTACATAAAATTAGACAAAATTAGCCTTAGTTAATCTCTAGCTGCAGGGAGTGCTGCCTGCCCCTGTGGCTGAGAAAGTATCAGAGGGAAAAGAGGCAAAAGCATGGTAGTCATCCGAAAGATGGAAATAGTGCCGCAGAAGGAGGCTTTTTCCTTGGTATGCTGTTGCTTTTTGCAGCATCATGATGCTATTAGTTTCCAGCCAGCGTTCAGTTATTGTGCGTGTGGTGTGGTATCAGTAAGATGAGTTCTAGAGTATGTGGAGTTTGAGATGCATGCGGGAAAGCAAGATGGAGAGGCTGAGTACATCTGGTTAGACTGGTTAAAATATGAATGGAACAGAGGGAACAGGGTTTTATATGTATATCTATGTACATACATACATTCTTTAAAAAAACAAAACCAAAAAAACCCTACCAAAACCAACTGACCAAACAAAAAAAAAACAACTCAGTACATCTGTGCATCTAGAACAGTGCAGCAAATGTGGGAATAGAGAAACTTGGGTGAGAAGTCAGAGGAAGGGATGTGAGGGTTTGTGTCCATACAGAAGTGATCAAAAATCCAAACTGCTAAGTTTTTTCTTGGATTTCGTTCATACCTTATTTCCAAAATGTCAGATTTGAAACTTTCCAAAGGAAAGACACAATTCAAATGGAAGTTCACTTGTGTGCAAGGCAAACATTCTTCATGTCTTCTAGCTCTCTGCCTTTTCTGTTGACGTGTTCAATGAGATGCTGCATTGGCTATGCTCATGTAGTTGTCCATGTGCTGCCTTTGTCTCTTGGCAAAGGAGGCTCAGAGCAACCTAGATGAAATGAGGTAGTTAAATTTTAAGTCATGTTAATGTTTGTGTGTTTTAGGTTGCACAAGCATTTATGTGCGGTTATCAAAGGGGAAAAATTTTTCTGCTCCAGTGCCTTTGTCCTGTGTTAACTACATGGTCTGTTTTTTATATTTTCAATTAGCATCACTGCCTTAAACGTGGATAGTATCTTCCTCTGGTTGCAAAACAAAGAATATGTGCCAGTGCAGCATAATATGGTATTTTTTAGCACTTTATGTTGGAAAATTTTAAAGTAATGCTGTACATAATTTATTTCTGGTGTTCGTCCTTCCTATGTAATCCTATATATAAAGACTTTTATATATTTTTTTCTTGTTACTTTTAAGAAATTCTCTGCCTGTGTGTAAGGATGTCCTGAATCAGTTTTTCTGTAGATACTGAAGTTATTTATCTACTTATTTTTTAAACTGTTTTTTGGAAATACTTGTTTGGTGCTCTTGCAACAACTGGTCACTGGAGACTTCTAGGCAATCTTTACTGTCATTTTTGAGTGACATGTCATAACTGTGGGTGCAGCAGTTCATATTGTGCTGTAATTTTGACATGTATCTTTGATTTTTTTTCAAGAGAACAAGAATTAATAAAATTCAACCATGTCTTATAGTCTTATAAGCTAAATAGGTTATTTGTCTGTAAGAGTTCACAATGGCATCCAAAATTTATGTAGTGAAGCTGAATTTTAAAATTACCGGACACCATGCATATTATTTTAATCACAGCTTCTGCAATATTTCCCTTTTGTGTATTAAAATACCATTTAAGGCAATCTGTATTGCAAATACTAAAGTTCTTTTTTTTCATTACTTTTCATGTATACCAAATAATGTATTCATTTTTCTGTGGATAGACAATCCTTCAAGAGTCAGTTCTTGAAGAAATTAATTCCAGTAAAAAATACTGTGTTTTAATGGTCTAGGTATTCCATTTTTTTCTCTGTATTCATTATCAGATTTTGTTCTTCCTCTCCCCTGTACGGGTTTCTTTAAATATGTGGTTTGCTTAATTTTGCCCATTCCTGTTCCTCTTTCTTTGTTTATTGTAGGTGCAACTTTGCCTAACTCCTTCAAAATACATCTCAAGAGTGTTTTTACATAGTCAATAAAGATACTATGAACATCATCAATAGTCAATTAATGATGCCGATGACTTTGTGATAGGGAAGTAGTGTCATAAAAGCAAAAGGCAAGCCCTGGGCTCTGCTTTCTTCATCACTTCGAAGGAATGGAGGAGCTGTTGCTTATGTCTGATAGTGTTTCTTATTTTCTTGGTTGCTCTCAGTGCCAGTATCAAGAAATAAAATCTTACTGAGCAAAAGTCACTCATAGGTTTGGGAGTTCAGTTTGCTCTGCTAATCTTTCTTGAGACACTCTGCCTTAATTAGGAACCAGCTAATGGGGGGGGGGAGAAAAAGGTACTTGAGCTTTCTTTCTTGTGATACTGAAGAAGTAGTTACTAGAAGCTAAAGTAACTTCTATTCTTGTATCATTAAAGTTAGGTAGGGATACAGGGTTCTTTATCTGTTATCATAGTAATAGGGACAGCTGTTTGTTTTAAAAATGGTAGAATATTCTTCAAGACATTACCAGATACTTATTTTCTTCTTAACTGTTGAGTTACACCTGGGTGTGTGGTATATGAGTTCTTTAATGTGGGTAGAAAGGAAAACAGCTTAGTTTTGGGAAATGTGGAAGAGAAGATTCCTGTATTTTGTAATGAAGCATTTGAAAGCCACGTGGAATGGTTTTTTTTCTTCCTTAGGTGCTCTTTACTGCACTCTAGTAATGAATGTACCACAATAATAGTTCTTAAATTAAAGGCAACAGTCTGAGGAATGGTTAATTAGGTTAATTCTGAGGTACAGAAATTAATCTTGTTTTGCTGTCATTTTTGCTTTTCTATTGCTTTTGTTAAAGATACCGTAGAAGAGCAAGCATTGTGATTTGATGCTATCAAGTAACAAGTCACTTCAGTTGGGGTTGTATATTTCCGGGGAGGATGGGATAGGAGAGGGGAAGGAGAACTCTCTGGTGTCCTGTTTTTGAACATATTGTCCTAAACCTCTTTACAAAAGCAGATTCTGCTCACCTCCCATCACTTTGGCAATATCCAATTAAATAAAATGCAAGGTGTGTAACAATTGTCTGGTCTTGGCAGACTGGCAGTATACTAAGTCAGTTACTGGGTGCTTAGCAGAGACCAGTTTTGTACAATGCAGTGGAGTCTATCAATTAGATTTTCTTCCTTAGCCTGTGCTGTGCGCGTCCTGAACTATCTGTTTTACTTTCCAGATTAAGTCAGCTACTTGAATGTCTGTTACGTAATCCTGCTAGATTCTCAGGTTTTTAATATTTGCGGAATAGGAACCGTAAATTAATTATGTACATAGTTGGGGCAACAGAGATTATTTTACAGAAATTTACTTCTCAAGCAAATCAGAGAGATAATTTGTTTATTGAATAAATAATATTTTTATTACAGATTTTGGACCAACCATGATGAACGTTTTTTATACATGTTAATGGAATATGTGCCAGGAGGAGAACTTTTTAGTTACCTGCGCAACATGGGGCGTTTCAACAACAGCACAGGACTGTTTTACTCAACAGAAATTATTTGTGCAATAGAATACCTGCACTCCAAAGAAATAGTTTACAGAGACTTAAAACCTGAAAATATATTACTAGACAAAGAAGGACATATCAAGCTTACTGATTTTGGATTTGCTAAAAAGCTGGTGGATAGGTAAGTGGGTTTTTGTTATGGTTTAACATGCAAAATGTAATGACAGTTGGAAGAAAAAAAGTTTGATTTCAGAGCTCAGTGTTTCACCTAATATTCCATGTTGTTCACACATGTCAAATCCCTTAATATGAAGGAAATTATCATCTTAAAATGGCTGTATGGAAGCCAATATTACACCTTAGGTATAACTAGGAGCAATATCACAGATAAGCTACCATAGAAAAATATTCTATATGAGCACGTTTGTAGATTTGTCAGCAGTCATCTCGTATAAAGGGAGTTCAATGAAGTAAAATGAGCAAATATTAAGATGTGCACATCAATATATTAAATGGGACATTAATCTTCCATACAAGTTGAATTGCTAAATGTTTTGTACCCGCTGTTTCCTTCTGCTTTCCTTTTAAAGAGATTTTTGAAATGTGGGAATAACATTTTAAAACTGGATACTGTGTTTTCACTAGCCTGTTGCTAAAATGAAACTGAAAAAATCTAGACAGAAACAGTAAGGCCAGCTTCAGCAGAAGTATTTATTTAACTGTAACTTCTACAATACTGTCAGCCTTATGCCTGTTTTACTAGCGTATGTAAGCTTTTTGATAACGCAGAGTTTTTTTCCCCAGTGATTTCTCTGTTCTCTCTGTTTGAACTACCCTTCCAATATTATAATATATGTTCTTAAAAGGAAGGAAGAGCTGTCATCAGGATTGAAAATAAGGGAGGAAAAAACTAGCCTGCCATATCAGAAAAGCAGTGTTAAAACGTTTGGTATTATGCCCTAGGGCCACCCCTTGAGGGAAACCATATCTGATTGTTCTAGTTGAGGCAGCCTAGTAAGCAAGTTAGGCTTACATAGGCGCTCATCCTCTTCACTCATCTGTTTTACCTGTTTGATGTTGCTTTTGCAACAGTTTGCGGGGGGGAAGGAGGGGGGCGGCAGGGGCAGAATTCTACAAGACCAATTTGAGATGATGGTGGATCTGAGGGATCTACTTTTAAAGGATCTCTTACGAAGTACAAGTCAGATGGGACAGATCAAGTCATGTTACAGAGGTCATAAAGTTTGCTTCCCTATGGGTTACATGCTCCCAGTGCTGGGCCATCTTGGTACAAAAGAATGGTAGGCAACTAATAAGTACACTGGTTCTATTCACCCTTAAGGTCTAAAAGTCTGTTTTAAAAACAGTGTATTAATATCAGTATGTTTGTTTGAATTCAGTTTCCACTGGGCAAGCAGATAAGTCTACAGATGTTGACTTTTTTTTTTTTAATATTTTGTTTTTAAATCAAAATACCTTTTTACAGGAAGAGGTAATGCTACTTCCATGTAAAAAAGTAGGATGATCTCTTATAAAGACGTTTTCATACAAATTCTTACAACTTCTTTTTTACATGTAGATACTGCCACTTAGTGGTTATTCTTAATTTGGATTTTTGTGGGTTTCAGGCACAACAGAAGTAACCCTTGATTAAATAAGATGATAGTTCACATCAAAGTATATTTTTCAATCTGGAAGAAGAATCTATAAGAGTAAATTTGTTGAAATACATTGCGGGACATCAAAAGAAGTTACCACTACTTTTTTAGTTGCGTTTTCTGTGTCCTGTCTTGCTGGGGGTGGGGAGAGGTATGGGG